GGATTTACTTTTAAGATTCTCTCTCCCCTAATGAATGGATGTAATCTGATGACGTAATATTTATTCATATACCCTTTTGGTTGAATAACTGAAGAGAAATGAATTTCTTTGCAGTGAATTACACTACAATGTTGATTTCATTATAATTTAACCCGCGCACCGACGGGGGGGGCGGATATCCGCCCCCCCTGAGGTTTTTCGCGAATAGCGGGAAAACCGCGGCGCGTAGCGCCGCGAAATTTGGTATGACTATTCCCTTATTAATTTTACACATGGTGTGCAAGTTTGAACCTCCTACCTTTCAAGGTCAGGTCACCAGGTCACTTTGAATGACCCAACCTCAAGTCACTTTTTTGCAACTTTGTCACCGTGCCAGAGCTACAGTAGATGTCGGAGGCCTTTGAAAGTCGCAGGATGTTATTAGGTCATTAGTAGCTACAATTTGTATATCTCGGAATTTTGATATCGGTGACCTAAGGTCAGGTCAATTTCGCGACCTCCCCATTATAAGTCAATGGGGAAAAAATCAACTCCCTGTTTTTACCACTAAAACGGGTCGGAATGGCCCCATATACCATATATGACTTCATATACGATCAACCTTCACTACCTTGAGGTCTGTTTTGCTGTTGGGCAGCTGTGAGGTCATGTGACGTCATCAAAGGTCACCAAAGGTTTTTGGCCAATAACTCCGTACAGGAACAAGATACAGACGCGTGGATGGTCTCATTGTGTTCAGCTCGTCAAGACGCATCGAATGATATACATGATGACCTCGAGGTCACGTGACCTGAGGTCAACCTTTGACCTTGACCTTTCGAGGTCAACATATATATCATTCGATGCGGATTGACGAGAGGATCACGATGATGCCCTTAGTTTGTTCCTATCTTGACTAATTCGAAAGTTATTCGAGAAAAACTCTCTCCATATTTAGCGCCGCCATTTTGACTTTTTCGACCCCTGTGACGTCATCTTTGACCTGACCTGAAAATGACCTTTGTAAAAATTGTAGATCTTGACCGTGCGTATCCGATGCCGTTTACCGCTTGTCGCTATCTTGCTTCGTTCTCGAGATCTCAGGGGGGGCGGTCATCCGCCCCCCCCCCCCCCCCGTCGGTACTAAGTTGGCGCAGACCCCCGTCGGTGCGCGGGTTAATATTGTGTTGGATAATTTTTATCAAATAATCATTTCCGAGGCAGTGGCTTGCAGTCGTTAAACATTTTTTTGCAGCGTTTTAATCAGCTGGTTAAAAGCCTCTGTTATGGCGCATCTGTTTCGAAATCGATAACCTTGTGTTTGTTCCCGCTTGAGGTTGGAGAGGATGGAAGATATCGTTTTATACAGGGTGTCCCATAAGTTCGTTCTCACGTTATATTTGCATGTGAAACAGAGTACATTGCGTTTTGATATATTTATGACCCCTCAATGTGCTCCCCATTTAATAGGCAAACACATGAATACATGCTGCGACATGCCAACCGGCGTGTTTGGCTGCATAGCAGGCTTAAAGTTAACCCAGACTGACTTTACATGCGCCGTGAGCTCCTCGACGCTGGAACAGCGCTGCGCTTCGACGAGCCTAAATTTCAGCATAACCAACAAATTTTCATGAAATTTTGATCCGATGAGGTGCCTGGCATGTGATCTTGCCACAAACGCCTGTCACAGTCTCCTTGCACCGCTTTTAAGCTTTGCTTGACCTGTGCACTGATGCACTGTCTTGCTTGAAGATGGGCTTACGACCTCCCGGATGCCATTTTCTCCTCTATAAATGTGTTCATACTCGCGGTTCGAGTTCAGCTTGAGGGCTGAAACTCCTCCTAGATGTTCTTGGAAAAGCATTCTGCTTCCCAAAGCTGTTTCTGGAACACCAATCGCAACCTGGTCAGCGTTTGGACGCCTATAACCCCACAATACCGTGACCCTGGCCTTTTGCATAGGAACATAACGGGACGAAACGGAGGCCTCCTCCTTCGCCCTTATGGGGTTGTTTTCGGGTTTGTACGGGTGTTTCATCTCGAACGTGGACTAGTTAGTCCAGATGACCTGGTTGATGTCCTCAACACTCTAGTTTTTTTAGCCTCAGGCATAACGAAACTCATGTTTGGTCATTTTAAGACGTTTTTGACTGTTTTGAGCCCTCCGGTAAGCAAAGCTTAAGTCACCTTGAGTTATGTACCCCGAAAGAACACTCTTAGACAGCTGGTTATCCATCCTGAAAGGTCTACTTACTAACTTTCTAGCCCTTTGACCTTTTTGATGGCCACTTTGGCGCCACACAGTTTTGGCCACTTGGCTCACTCCTGAGGGCTGACTGGAAAGAGGATAAACTTGCAGTGATTGACTCTCGACAAATCATCGGCGTCACTTGCTAACTGTGCTTCCAGTTAGTGATGGACATTGTCTACAGACTGGTAGGCCTCAATCACCCTCAATTGTCGCGAATGGTCACGTGCTGACTAAATACCGAGACGTACCCGTATCGGAGACCTCTATGTTGCGGCGTTATCCGTCTCTGTAGGAAACGGGCTCTCTAGGAAAAACTATTTTGTCTACAGAAATTAGTTACTGTGGAGCATATTTCTACCAACCATGGTAACCACGTAAGCTGAGTTACGAACCAATTTCAGCGTGCCTTTAAGCAAGAGAGCCTAAAAACGTAAAATTTAGGTGAGAACGAACTTATGGGACACCCTGTACATATTATTTGGTGACTATTCTCAGGACCAGTGAGTTATTAACACATTTTTTACATGATTCGTATCTTATTCACGAACCAGCAAGCCATAGTTGATAGGAAAAAGTAGATGTTGATCTCGCTTCCTCAGTTAGGAAGATGGCCGAATCTGTACTTGTTTACCTATGTTTTGACCATCTAGATTTTAAACATTTGGCTGGTGCCTGCAACATTTTAGGAGAATATGGAAAAGTAGAACACCTGTGAAATGTAAATGTGATTACTGCTCACTGTCCAGTCTTCAAAAACACATTTCAGTAATTCAAGTCCTTTTTGTCCTCACCTTTTTGATGAATGTAATAGTCTTTTTGTAGGCAATACTTCTTTGATTACAGGTGATATTTTAACTCGCCCCGTTGGGGGGGGCCATTTTGGCCCCCCCCTGTGGTTTTTCCTGAATAGCAAGAAAACGGCGGCGCGCAGCGCCGCCAAATTTTCAGTACCTTCCCGGGCATCAATTTGACACGTTCACACCAAATTTCAAGTCTTAGGTCACCTTAGGTCAGGAGTTATTGAGGTCAAACTGAGGTCATGTTCGAGCAAAAATGAGCAAAAAAACATGCAATCTTGAAACGCTCACCAAATCTACAGTTATCAAGCAATTTCAAAGTTCTTTATATGGTCTAGTAGACAAAAAGCGGCGCTACAAAACTGCTATCTCGGATTTTCAAAATTTTTGGTTTTTGACCAAAAAAAATTCAAAAAACTGATTTTTTTAGAAAAACTTTAAAAAAATCCAAAAATTTTCCGAATTTCGAAAAAACCGGAATATATGTGATAGTCCTAGCGCTCTTCTATATACATACCAAATTTCAGATCGATATCTCGTTTTTTGGCCAAATTATAGCGAAAAAACTGTTCAAAAATGATGACGTCAAATTTTTGAACTCAATTTTTAGCAATTCTAGACCACGTACGGCAAAACAAAGACCACCATTGAACTCCCCGTGACGAGCTGCATCGATTCGATACCCATTTTATGCAAAAATATTAACTTTGAAATTTGACCTAATTTGACCTGACCTTGACCTGACCTTGACCTGACCTTGACCAAAACGTGATCTAAGCTGGCCCCAAAGACTGCCTGACCCATATAATCGCATTTGTCATGTAAAATGGACCATAAAACATGTATCACACGACACTTTCATATTGTGACCCCCCCGTGACCTGACCTCTGTGACCTGACCTGGTATCAGTGACCTCAAATAGCAAAATATGTGTTTGAAGAACATTTCCCCATCGATGATTTTCAATGAAATGCATTTTACTCGATTTTACAACGCATTTCTTGAAGTGCCTGTAAACGGTGAAAATTGGACCTTTGACCTGACCTGTGACGTCATCGGTTTGACCTAGGTCAATAAAATTGGGTCACAAGGTAGTTCCCCGTTGGGGCTATCCAACGCCGTTTACCGCTTGTCGCTATGTTGCGTGGTTCTCGAGATCTTAGGGGGGGGCCAAAATGGCCCCCCCCCAACCGGGCGCGTTGCTCGGCAGAGCCCAACGGGGCGCGGGTTAACAGGTATAGACTGGAATTGAGTTTCAAAATTGTGGGTATTTGTGGGGCCAACTCAGCCAAAATCAGCCTGCTGGTATTTGTGGTTGGACAATGGATGGCTGTTGGGTGGGAGGGGCACTGAAACTGCCAAAATGTGGCATCTCTTGCAGGGGTCAGCTAGAATCAAGAATGCAGGTTTTTTAGTATGCCGGTAATTTGGCGGTTTTTTTGCTTGGGGCGTGGTAGCCTGCCGGTATCCCAGAAAATTTTTGTGGGGCGGGGCGGTGCCGGTAGCAGCCTTTGGGGAAAACTTTGCAACTCTAATTTTGATGTATCACATGTCAAATATACGATGAGACTCGGTCACAAAACTTTAGCAAAAGTAATATAACTAATGTCTGCCTCGACGAAGGCAAGGCGATTGTTTGTTATATTACCTGCTGTAACGATGGTGGTTACATTTAGCCGTAAGACGTAGAATTAATTGTGACGGTGGATACAGAAAATGGGCAGTTCGGCCGTAGTCGGATCTGATGGGGTCGTCAAAATTTTACATTCATCTATCCACCCCTCGTGGCAACGTTGAAGTAAGTGGTGCAATGTGCAGCTTTAAAAGCTTAGTGACGAAATTCGAAAAGAAAAGGTGATGGAAATCGTGGAGGTGCAGTAATATGGTGACGGTGCTGAATATACCTGCACCAACATCCTATTCTCGATATTCTTAGCATCGAGCAGCGATTTAATAGTGGCGATAATGGTTTCACTTCATTCAGTATATTCGATCAAACATCGGCCGTATATGCAGCATCAATACAAATGAATGTCACGCAATTATCGCCCAAACGTTAACGACAATATACCTAGATATTGTACACTCAAACGTGAAACAGCGGCTGCAAGTGCTGCAGGGCTCGGTCCTGCTCATAAACGACAGAGCAGCAGGCACACAGCATCTCATCCACTTTCTGACACCAGCAAGACACTTCGCACTCATTGTAAGCCGACAGGCGTGCGGTTGTATATATTTCTAGCACATGCCCACAAGTACACAACCCTATACAATGCACATATAAGCGCCATTCAGGCTTTCAAGCCTACACACGCCCACGACAATTTTCTATGTTTTCCTTAACCTGTCCATCTATTTCGTAGACAAATGGTCATCTCACTTTCAGCTCAAAAATAGTTACTCACTCGTAATGGGTCGCACCTTTCGACTGGCAAGACGACCTGAAGTCACATTTCTTGTACGTCGCGTATGTTCTCGAGTTCGTCGACTACTTCTTGCAAGAGCTGGAGCTGTTGCTACTGCCGGAGCAGGCTCCGCCTTTCTTGGCGTCATCGGAGACTTTCAGCGCCGAAGTTTGCACCTCGACATCTTCATTGGTCAGCATTCTCCTGCGGGCGATTACGAAACGATCACCGTTAGTGCTGCCAGCAAAAAGCTTTGGTTGCCTTTATTTTGTCAGTAAGTCGTACGCTAAACGTAGATAAAAAGTAAGCCATATCCTAAGTTAGCCATATCCTAAGTTAACATGAGAAACTCGTTATTACACAGGCTTATATAATTGCGCAGCATATGTGACAAGAAAGACTGATTTCAGATACCCTCAGGGCCTCAGGTCATCTGAAATCGGAAGCCTCAGACCATGTCACCCACCTTCCCAGCTCCACGATGGCTTCGACCATGCCCTGGCCGGTGCGGGCGCTGGTCTCCTGGAAATGGGCGCCGAAGTCCCTGGCCAGGGTCTCTCCCTGTTCTCGGGTGATACAAGTCTGGCCCTGCTTCATCAGCGCCTCCCGCATGTCCACCTTGTTGCCGCAGAGCATGATGGGGACCCGCGTGTCGGTCACCTCCTGTGGACGGAGGAGAGTGAGGTAAGAACACTAACAGGCTACTCAGCAGTCGGTACAAACGCGTGATGGGCACCACAACAGCAGGGCCCAGTTCTTATTGAAACACTTACCGGTAAGTGTCACTTGGGCCAAAGTGACACTTATCTTAGGGCGACTTGAAGTATCGGTTCTTATAGCCACACTTAAAGCCTCCCTATGATAAGTGTCACTTTCCTTAGGGAGACTTTGAGTGAGACAAGCAAAACGAACTTTGCATCTCTAAAATGTTGTCATTTCTGGCAAATCTGTCCATTTTTGGAAGCAGTCACGTGCAATTTGTTCAATTCATACTTTGGATATGCATATGACCGAATATTCGGATAAGAACCAATACGTTGAGATGCAGTTTTACATTTACCTTTGCCTCTTTGTTGTTGTTGTTCTTTGGAAATTATTAACGCCATTGACAAATAGCGCTTAACCCGCGCCCCGTACCGCCATCGGCGGACCCTGCCACCCGTAGGGGGGGGGGGGGGGCGTTTCCCCCTATGATCTTGGAAGGTTACCGACCGATTTTCAAATTTCAAACGGCATTCGATAGCTCCATCGGGGAACTACCTTGTAACCAAATTTAATTGATCTAGGTCCAAATGATGAAGTCACGGGTCAGGTCAAAGGTCACATTTTCACCGTTTGGAGGCCTAATTCTAAGGAATGCGTTATAACATCGAGCAAAAGGAAAGTTATCGTAAATCATCGATAAAGCGTTGGTTGCCTGATACATAGCGACACATTTTTTTCCAAACCCCATATCTGTTCTCCCTTGAATTTTCGGGAGGCGCGAATAATCCCATTTAAAAAGTGTCCAATCGGCACAGCCGCTCTCGAGATCTGGAAGCGGCATCCTGCACGTGCGCACGTGCAAAATGGTTCCCAACTGGCTTTTGCACACGGCACTCTACTAATCGGTCCCTAACCATGTACCAAATTTCAGCACAATTGGTTCAGCCGTTCTCGAGATCTGGAAGCGGCACCCTGCACGTGCGCACGTGCAAAATAGTTCCCAACTGGCTTTTGCACACGGCACTCTACTAACCGGTCCCTAACCATGTACCAAATTTCAGCACAATTGGTTCAGCCGTTCTCGAGATCTGGAAGCGGCACCCTGCACGTGCGCACGTGCAGCGGCATCCCAACTGTGGCACATGGATATGCATTATCTAGTGGGCGCCTACCTACATGCCAACTTTCAGCACAAGAGTCCCAGTAATTGCCGGATTATTGTAATGGGAACGAACGTGACACCTTTTCATTTTGCATTCGGCACGTGCAGTGACGGTCGCCCAGATGCATCGAAACTAGCCAATATCGGGGGAAGGGATGGGATCACTAAACAGAGAAGACTGCTCATCAAATGGTTGAACGGTTGCGAAGATACATGCGTCCCAAAAGTGCTTTATTATAATCATGTCACACTAACTGCGGTTAGGGTGGTATCACCCTCCCTAACCAAAGTCACACTTACCGGTAAGTGTCACTAAGGCTAGTATGGCTATAAGAACGAGTCCCACTTTCCGGGTTAGTGCAGCTCGATGTTAGGGTGGCTATAAGAACCGAGAACCGAGTTCTCACTAACACTTAGTAAGTGTCACTTGCTTAGTGAGACTTTTAGGGTGGCTATAAGAACAAAATCGCCAATGGGGTTGGGAACTCGATTTTTTAAGAATGCATGAAAATGATCAAACTATTTTCACAGAATTTATGGTGCATACCATTGCCTCATAAAATCAATATGCTGAGAGAAATGGGGGAAGAAAGATAGGAAACTTGTTTTGAAAAGTTCTTGAAAAAAGATGCTCTTGATGCTGTTACGTCACATGTCACCTTCTGCGGTTGACAAATAATGGCGCATTTGGCGCACCACAGATTACATGTTATATCAATGGGTGAAAGATGTTGTTTGCTTCACTCTGCCATTCGCGCTGTTTTTAGCTTTAAATTATGCTAAATCATTCACGGATGTAGGTTCAGTGTCAAAAATTGATGCTCTGCCGTGTACTGTTCCCATTTAACATCAAGCGCGTGGTAAACATTTTGTGTACCTCGAATTTTCAAATGAAAAACATGGTGAATCGGAAGATGCTGAAGAGCAAAAGCTCTTTCTAATACGTATTTGGCATAATTTACAATTAAACTGTTAACCTTTCTCTTATCTTATTAATAATTTATTTGTTCTTTTTTATGAAAATAACTTAAGGTGTTGAGAACCGAGGTAATTTCTATCTACCGTGCCTTAACTTACCAGCAACAGCAATCTATCTACGCTCTACGGTGGCAAGGGAGACTGTGAAAGAAGCGTAAGATGGATTCTAAACAATTCTTTTGTGATATACTGAAGGGCAAAGTGCAGAGAAGAGCGTACAAGTCCTGTTTTGTGCCAGGCTGTTGCAGTAGCACTTATGAAACTCCGAAAACGATCTTCGTTCATGTCCCGAACAACATTACCCTGAGGAGATGATCGTCTGCAATAGCAGGAAGAGCTGATGCAAGTACTTTGAAATCCACTATCAAGTCGGTGCTATTGTTGTAATGATCACTGTGAGGTGAAATATTTTGTGCAAGGGCTGAGTGTAATGCCCAGGAGATGACCTCCATTCGCCCCCTGACCGGTCAGGGTTATAAAATTTGAGTGGATGGCGGTCCGTTTGGGGTTCAGATGTCAACTGTATTTTGCTTCTGTCAAACAATACATGTTATGCTGGCAGCGAATGTGTGTAACGTCGGTTTTCGAAACAGAAGTTAGAACTGTAACGGCAGAGTGCTTGCTGGTCTCATCGTAAGTATTGTAAGCGTTGTAAGCAAAAGCATTGTCAATATTGTAAGTATTGTGAGCATTGATGTATGGTAGATATCACCTCACATGATCTCGGCTCAGATAACCCTCCCCGGTGTCCCTGTCAGTAAATGGCACCTGGATCATTACAGATAAGATAATTTGTCATAATTCTTAAAGAATTGGGTGGTTTTGACTCGTTTACTCGAGGTGCAGGTCGCATTTCAATACTTTTCCATAGGCTTGCAATGTAAAGGTCACGACTCTGACCTAACCTCAGGTCACAGATCAAAAATTCTGAGATATACAAACGACACATACTGCAGGTACTGTTTTGAAGACTTGATGAGAGGAAATAACTTCGTGAAAAACTCAAGCTCTGACGTGTTTGCAAACTTTTCTGAGGTAGGGTCAACAAACCCGCTCTGGTTACCTGACCTGACCTGACCCGGCATTTTTTTTTTTTGTTTTTTGCTGAGATGTGCGCAATGAGCATTTAGGAAAAGTCACCAAATATGAGCTGAATGTCTCGCGGCGTTTGGCAATTGTACAAGAAAATCCTGAAAGGCCTCCCCGTCCGAAATAGGAATAATGTGTATATGAAGAGTTGCAGATGCCAAACATACCCAGATCTAAGATTGCAGTTCCCAGCGCCGCTGCAAGGTTTTTAAAACAAACATACATAGGACATACAAACATGTTTATTTGCATCTGTTTTGGATAATAGCAACTCATGGCGCCATCACCCGCGATAACTGTTAGGATTTGAGATATATTTTTATTTAGGCCATTAGTTTGGCTGTAATGTTTATTAATATTAGATGAGCGGAGTTTGGTAGTTTTTTATTTAACTTGTGGTATGTTGTGCTGATTGCGGGTTGTTCAAACCTTTCAAATGTAAGGACCTTATTGAACTCAACCCTACCCCTACACTACCCTACATACGACTGGACGCTTTCCAAGCCCACAAGCATCACGACGCCGAGATGGAATGTAGCCGGGAAATCACCCTCGCCATCTGCTCTAGAGCTAATCGTGTGGGGCGGCGTGTGGGGCGCCGCTTAGCCTATGGGGGTGCACTTCTAGTGGATGGGGGACGGGGGTGCACCTGCACCCCTTTCATATGGAAAGTTACTTCCCTGATTACAGCTCCCCGTATTGCACCTAATCAGGGAACGGCCAGCAAACGAAGGAACTATTTCTGGATGACAGGCGAATAACCGCTCACGCAAGGAGCGGAGCTCCGCCCCGTCCAAAGTGGCCAACAAAGCAGAGACAGAGGCAGCATCACATCTTCAATCAAAGAACTGGTTTCTGGCTTGGAAGATGAGCTCCATCTTTGCATCCGAGTCGGTGCTGTCAGGAATCAGCTGGTCTAATGGAGTGAGAGTAGTGAGACGACTAGCTATTGTATCAGAGCTGCCTGGTCTTCGTAGCATTTGCACCGATTCTTCTCGATCGGACTCTGAATTCTGTCCCTCCTGTGTATTACTTGAGGCATTGCTATGTAGCTAAGTCTTTGGCAGAGTTTCATTATCCATGCTTTGCAAACAGTGCCATAACAACACAGTTAATTAATCACCAAGCTTCTTTGCAAGTTCCAATACAGTTGAATCGCACGCGATTTGAGTTCAAAAATCAAGAAAAGTGCCAACTTGTTCCCGTAAAATATTGTGAATATTGACCTAAAAAAATGAGTAATTTCCAGATAAAATAACAGCGAAATCAGTTTTCGCTTGCCAATAAAACTCACAGATATTGAAGCTCCATTATTAAAGGAACATTTTAGTATATGCCATTCTTGATAAAACTTCTTAGCCACGCAATACCAGCGCAAAATAAAGAGACACTGAAAACACGACCAATCACTCCGATTTACCATAGGAAAATACATAGAAAATGTATGTCTCAACTGCGCCAAATATACAGACAGTTATATACCTACATGTGACGTCATGATTAGCCCGACCAATCAGAAGCAAGTTGTTTTCAGCCACAAATAATTAATTTCTGAACTAATTAGGCATTTTTTTAACAAAGTGATTTTAAATTAAATCATTAAAAATTCTGAACTTTTTTATTTTACCAAAACATACAAAGCATGCAGATAGGTCCCAACCCCGTGAGGCTTGAAAGTATGGCTATAAGAACCGGGCCCAGATGTCAATCAGTGTTCAATATGCTCAGTGCGGTTCATTAGCACAGTTGTTCGCAATTTCTGAAGCATGAAGCACGTCACACGTAAGGTCATTGTCACACTATTTCACGGAGCTAACATGCCATATATGAATAAATGAACAAATATAAATGTTACATTCGCCCCGGCCCATCTAATTTATGACAATATATCATCTAGGCCCTGAGATCATGCATTGAGCTATAAAAATGTATTTGCTTCATAGATGTATAGACGCGAATGAAAACGAATCACTATTTCCTGGGATTATCGGGAAGGTGCTGCTTTACAGATCGTACGTACTACACGCTCACGTGTTTTGACATATCTAGTTGAAGAGTTCCGGGAAGATTATGCTTGGCTTCGATCATCTTTATTTACAGTATATAGCTCATGCATACAGGGATTCAATCATGCATCTAACGCACCAGATAAACATGTAAATGAGCTCGCCCGGCCAGGTCCTTTTCCACGACGCGAAAGGCCAGGGGGCTGAGGTGGGGTTGTGGGGGATGCGTAGTACGACACAGGACACCGCCTAGCCATTGGCTCCTATGGCACTTTAACCCTCGCCCATGTAGGGGGGGGTTGGTGCAACCCCCCCTGAGGTTTTTCGAAAATAGTGCAAAAAACGGCGGCGCGCAGCGCCGCCAAATTTTGGGTACCTTATGGGGAAAACCTTGCGCATCTTTTGATAAAAAAAATTGACCGGGTCATGTCAGGTCACGGAGTTATGACGTCACAAAGGGAACAGCCTCCGGCCGGATTTTCACAAACTGAGTGCCAACGCCCGAGGTTTCCTGCCGGTGGTACGGACATCGGTTGATGGATCGTGATGAAACTTCCCATGCATGTTGGGGCAAGTATTGGCTATCATATGGTATAAGAAACTTGACCAGGTCAGGTCAGGTCACGGAGCTATGACGTCAGAAGAGGAACAGCGTCCGGTACTATTTTTGAAAAGCGCCCGAACCACTATTTCGCTAATTCTTGTCACCTCAATGGGAATATGCAGCAATATTAGCTGCTATAGGGAGCAAATGGACCTTCCAAATCCAAAAATACAATCAGATTTCAAAAATTTAAATTTTGATTTTTCGAATTTCTGCCGCCGACTCTGACCTTGCCGACTTCCGGCGCTCCCAACGCGCCATTTTTAGAGCTAGGGAAACGAAATACATACCAAACGATAGAGAATTGATCAAGGAACACGATAGTGAAGGTTTCAAGTCGATATCTCCCACCGTTTTGCCGCAATCGCCGCGGAAAGTTGAAAAAATCTATTTTTCCGAAAATTTGACCTTTGATCGGTCAAAAGTAGGTCAAATGTTGACCTAGGACCAAAAAATATACCACCAATCGCGAGATCTCGGCGAGAGCAATCCGTTGGTCTTTTCCGCTAAGCTCTACGACGCTCCGTTTTCAAACGCCAAGGGGGGGTCGCACTGCCACCTTCGCCCCTGCATGGGCGAAGGTGGCAGATCGCCGTTTACGGGCGAGGGTTAAAACATTAATTTACAGGGTCGGTGGGCCCATATGAAAATATCGCCACTACGCGGCTTTGGTGACTCCAGTCCTATATTTAGGGGGGGAGGGGCGGGGGGCGGAGTCATGGATATAAATATGAAATTTCGGTAGAAGTTGTAAAAAATCGTTTCTAATTTTCCTTTTTATTTCCCATCAAACACTGTATATAAATGGGCTGCTAAGTGCTTAAAAAGATGGTGATCACTGGAGGGTGTCCACATCACAGCGTCCTGCGCAGCATTTCCCTACAATTATCTTGCGAAATGTCCTCCTCTTAGACCCGGCCCCTCCATGGTACCTCCTGAATCAATAATGTTATCAGTTCAGTGATGGAACTACATAGCTGACTAGATGAAGCAAATCGGAAATGAGCATTGACATGTGGTTATCAGAATGCAGGCCAGTCGGTGATTGTTTTTGGTATTTACGCCATCACGTGCAGAGTGGTACACAGGTAATTCCCCATTTCCTGTGAGGCATTGAAAAAATAACATTACACTGGACAGGACGCAATCCCCGCCGAGGAAAGCAATGCCCATACCAAAAGCCCTGAATGCTCTAAGTAATTGCAATGGGAGCTGAGCTACAACTCAAAAGCGTGCCAGAGTAATATCCGGCGAATGAGAAAAGGTCACAACTGACTACTGAGCCGTATCAGCCGTACCTATGAATGACTGGAACTGCCAGAAAGAAAACTGCATTTACGGGTAAAAGGATTGAGCATTAGAAACTGGTGAAGCTTTTTATTGAGTGTTGCTGTTTAGAGAGTGAATGCATTTGCTAGAAATGCTGATAAAACACATGTCCCCTAGTGTTCATTATTTGCTGGAGCAAAATGACCAACGCTCTCTCTCTCTCTCTCTCTCTCTCTCTCTCTCTCTCTCTCTCTCTCTCTCTCTCTCTCTCTCTCTCTCTCTCTCTCTCTCTCTCTCTCTCTCTCTCTCTCTCTCTCTCTCTCTCTCTCTCTCTCTCTCTCTCTCTCTCTCTCTCTCTCTCTCTCTCTCTCTCTCTCTCTCTCTCTCTCTCTCTCTCTCTCTCTCTCTCTCCCCTCCCTCTCTCTCTCTCTCTGTCTGTCTGTCTGTCTGTCTGTCTGTCTGTCTGTCTGTCTGTCTCTCTCTCTCTCTCTCTCTCTCTCTCTCTCTCTCTCTCTCTCTCTCTCTCTCTCTCTCTCTCTCTCTCTCTCTCTAAGAAGTTCAAGCACGATTTCTGACACTGATAACAAAACTCCTACCGGTCGCAGCCAGACCTTACCCGTCGCAAATATAGTTCTTTCAGTTACTAGGGTCGCCTCGACTGGCAACAGCAGCAACTGGCTTACCTTTGGCCGATTATATGCCCACACACAACATGCGATGGACCTACATATATGGCGCTTATGTAACGGCTCCCAAGAAAGATCTCAGACCAAATGTGTGATTCGGCAAATATTATACTAACGTTCTAGCAGTTTGGTTACCCGCTTTGTGCTAATGTAGGTACTGGCTGAGTCTTATGCCGGTGCGTGTTTACGCATAAGAGTTTCAAACTTTCGAGACTACAAAATTGATTCACTGAATAAGTTTAAAAAAGTACATCACTGGTGCGTGGGTTGCCTGCCCCCAAAGTCCCGCAAACTGGTTGCGTCTTTCATTCAAAGGCAAATGTTTGCAAAACGCATGCAGCCATATACTCGATGCTGCCGTTCGAATACACGATGGATAACTCACCTAGGATCTCATCACGTGGTTGGGTTCTGGGGAATTTTCGGGTACTCGTACATGTGTTCGTGTTTTGCTAGATTTTGGGGATTTAGGTACCTTTCACAAAAGTAATACCGAAGAGTGGCACGGATTCGGCCCACCTTGAACTTCTGAGTTCGGCATTGTGAATGGCGATGTGCTATAGTGCTGAAGATGATGCTGCCAGACAATAATTCGCCAGATACTAAGCTTACGTTTCGCTGGCCCCAGCTGCCTAGGAGCCCTGCGGATGAATAGCGAAGTCGATCTGTCTCAGCCTGCCCACTGATTAGTGACTCTGTCCTGCACCTTTGTCCCTGATCCATGTGTCTGTCCCTTGTCCGTGCCTCTCTGTATGTCACAGCCCCCGAGCACTGTCTGTCCTCCCCTTCCTGAGCCAGTCCCGAACAGTGTGTCTGTCCCCCACCATTGTCCCCTAAGCAGTGTGCCCCCCTAATAAATGACTCTTTCCTGATCAGTGTATCTGTCTGTCTGTCTGTCTGTCTGTCTATCTGTCTGTCTGTCTGTCTTCAGTGTCTCGGGCTCGGCCCCCTGATCAGTGTCTGTGATTGTGTGCCCCTATCCGTCCCCCGTGATCACTGTGCCCGTCCCCTGTCCATGCCGTCGGACGTCGGTACTCGCGTCTGATCACCGTCTGATCATCGCGTCTGAAACCGTCTGATCATCGCGTCTGACCCCGTCTGATCACCGCATCTAACTCCGTCTGATCATCGCATCTGACTCCGTCTGATTATTGCATCTGACCCCGTCTGATCGCCGCATCTGACCCCGTATAGTGTGACGCACACGGCGCCGAGCTGTGTGCCGGTCTGACCCGCCGGGTGCGTAGGCACGGCACAGGTGTCCAGGGCGCAGCTGCAGACCGGTCCCGTCGACCGACCGAGCCGCGCCAGACGGCGGAGCAGAGACACACTGTCACAGACACAATAGGACGGAGAGCAGCCAGGCGCCACGGAAGGAATGGGGACAAAGAAATAGGTGAAGGAAAAACGGAGTGACAGGGAATGGTGGTTCGTAGTGTGATTGAAGATTTAATGTGAACAGCGATAGAGAATTGCTAATTGATGTCTCATGCGCCCAAATAAGTCAAATGAACCAAGCGTTAGCGGGAAAATAAGGATCATTACACTGCTTTAAGCATACTTAAACATCATAGTGTTTGATCGACCCCACAACTAGCACGCACTCGTACGGTTACGGTCTACCAATAATGGCGTTATTGGACCGGTCCGCAGCCGAGAGACTTACGTCAATGCTCTGCACCCATTGGCGCACGCTGAGGAAGGACCTCTCGCTGGTGACGTCATACAATAGCATGACGCCATCGGCCCTCCGGAAGTACGACTTAGTGATGGAGCGGAAGCGCTCTTGACCTGAAAAAGCGCCTCGGTTTGAGTCTCATTACCAAATGGAACGAAAATGTTCATTTTGTTAGCTGAGAAACGATTTAAAGTCTAAGATGAGAAGTTCAATTATGAAAGTTCAAACTTACCAGCTGTGTCCCAAAGTTGTACTGCAACGTTCTTTTCGTATAGCAGAGCGTTTTCACCTGAAAATCCACTCCTGAAAATAGATACAATAACACGATATCAAAAAGAATCAACGTAATGGTTAAGTACTTCCACAAAAATAGCATTGTGCGGAAAATACTTAATAGTCAAAAGCATTGTGATATACACGAAAATGAATGTCTTCTATACCGGATACTATCAACTGAAGGTTATAGGGTAATTTGGCGGGGTACCGTCCTATCTACAATCGATACTGTTTGGATTCTCACCAATTATTTCTAAGTGAAGCAATCCTCTAACGTCCATTCCGTTCATCGCTGTGAAGAGCGTCCTCCCTCCGTCTCCCCACTCACCAGCGTGGAGCTGATGTCGGTGACGAAGACGCCCTTGCAGATGCGAGTGATGAAGGTTGACTTTGCCGACGGCAGCGTCGCCGGCAAACACTACCTTGTAGGTGCGGT